CCCCAAAACCCCAAAACCCCAAAACCCCAAAACCCCTATTCCTTTGGCTAGCAATGAAAATAGTAATAATTAATCCTCGCTTTTCTTATTTCCGTCTGTCCTGGAGTCAAATATCAGCTCGTATTTGTTCTCCTTTCACAACTCACTGGCCATCTTCCTGCTTTCTAAGAATCCGCTCTGGGGGATAAATAGAGGATCCACTCCGATTAGGACGGAATTCTCAAGCATCGATGGGATGAGTCTGGACAGTAACGGACATCATCTATCAAGTCATGGGTTAGTGTTGACCTCTATCAGGTAGGGTCTGAAGTCTTCATCGATCATGAAATCATATCCGAGAATTTCGAATGTATTCTCACGCATGTATGGATCGACCTTTCCATGGACTGCTCTGAAAGAATCTGTAATTACACCTCTGATTTGGGGGAGTAAATCACGATAAAATCAGATTGATTTCTCCTTGTGGTTTACATCCAAATACTTTTGGAAATCATCATAGGAAAGCTTGTTAGCTAATTCGTATTTTCCATACTCTTCTGCATGCTTCTGAACAGCATCGTTAGTGAGATGAATCATGTTGTCATCAAGGTCTTCAAGACTGAACTCCTTACAGGAGGTTCTGAGGTACCCTTCTTTGTAAAAATACGCCTTCATGTAGCCTTGGTTATAACAAGTTAGTAGCGTGAAGATACGTATATCAAACTTTCTTTTATTTATCAATAGAGGCTTTTCAATGTATTTCTGAATTATGCAAGTCCTCTTACTCTTGATACTCAGGCTGTTAAGCAACCCTTTGATTTCATAGAAGTCATTAGACACATTGATGCCTCCACCTCTGTTAGAGTTCTCTCCTGGTTTGATGATCCACACATTTTGGGTTTTCTTCTCCTTTTCAGCGATTTCCTTTTGCTCAAAGAAGTGTTTCTTGAATGTCTCAAATTCTGGATCACTGCTTCCACCTTTAATGTGGAATGTGAGTGGCAAGCACTCAAAAGGATCTGCTCCCATAGATTCATAGTATTGCTTCATGTTTATAAGCAAACTCTTCTTGTTAGCTAAGTGGAAGTTAGCCTCTACACGGTTGTAAACCTTCTGACTTTCAAAAGGAATATTTTTCTCTGGATCAAACTTTTGACAATATTTAGAGCTGAGCATATTCTTTGAACAGTCAACCTCTTCCTCTTCTTCACTTGAGCTTCATATATGTTCTGAATCTCCTGTTTTCATGATTTTACAAGGGAGTTTGTCTAATTCAGAATTCACCTTCCATTGGGTCCATAGGAAGTTAAGCTCGTGTAAATCTCTCTTTGTATGGTGGTTCCACCACGGCCTCTTATTCATAATAGACTTGACAGCTTCTCAATTATTTCCTCTGCCTACAAAGAATTTGTAGAGCTTGGGATAGCCCTTTGATGACTTTAGGTGGAATGTTTCCATGCCATTCTCATCATTAAGTGTCTTCCAGAGATAATTAAGAAGTTTCTCCTTGATTGGTGCTATGATTGTTTTGTCCTTGAACCCATTCTATATGCATCAATCAAAGTTAACATACCTCTTCCTGGAGTGCCTTCTGGTTGATCACGATCCCGAATCTTTTGGCTAGGCGCTTAATATTGCAGAAGTCATATTCATCCCCTTTGTTCTTGAAAGTGAGGTTAACAAAATTATTATAGTCTTGAAGGACATTGTTAATCAAGCAGTCATCCAGATGAGTGTAATCCTCCTTGAAGATCTTAATACTAGATGGTTCGTAGGTACACTCTTTTCTCTGAAGAGATTCCAAAGCCTTTGACTCCTTCTTCTCAGCCTTCAAGCGAGGCCTCCTGGTCTTAGGGACTCTAGGCTTCTTTTCCTTCTTCAGTTCAGTATCTGTAAGTTTAGATGCTGTTTTATTTAGAGTTGATGATAGTCTTTCTTCTGGCTGCATTACTACCGTTCATTCCTCCCTTCAGCTTTCTGGGTTTGACTTCTTTGATCTCAATCAAATTGTGCTTACCCTCTTCAGTTAGAGGCTCAGCCCTGTTCTTGTTCATATAATCCTACAAAGTTTGATGACAAAGACTTACTTTGCTGAGATTTACCAGCTCAATTTTCTTAAACTCTCTTTCTTTGCCAAAGCCTTCGAGCTTCATTCGATGTTTGATCTTCTTCTCACTGATACATCTCTGAAAGGCAAGCTGCTCAGGAGGAGGAGATGTCTCAGATTGCTTCAGGCCTATAACAGGATGCCTGCTTATCCCGATTGTGTTCATAAATACTGCACTGTTATGAGCCTTCTCAACAATCGAGTTCTATGAAGGTTTAATTTGAACTTACATTTATTTGTGATATGGTGAAGAAGCCATAATTTGGGGAAGTTCCACAGGCTCAGAGTCGGAGTCCTGAGCTTTCTGACATCTCTGTTTGAGATATTCTCTTGCAGAGTTATTCTTATTCGAGCAATCGGTTGGGATAAGATCATTTTCAGCTTTTTCCTTCAGGAATTTTATTCCGTAGGTGGTCTTGATATAATTATTGTCATAATCATTAGTCTTCTCCTTAAGTCTAGCATCACTTCTGTCTGATTTGAGTGCATTGACTTGTTGAAGATTATGCTTATAGATTTCAATAAATTTCATATTTGGAGGGTTGCCCTTCTGGCTGGAGTATCACTTGCTATCACCATCACCTTCCTTAACCTGCACAAGATTCGGAGAAAGCATTTTTGCCTGAGTGGGTGCTACAGAAGAGTTCAAAAGAGGTTTAAACAAGGTCTTACTCTCTTTACAACTAGATTTTTGGGTATTTTGAGTATCTGTACCAAAATATTCACTTTCTTCGGTTCATTTCCTAATAACTTTCACAGGAATTTGGTTCTGAGGAGATGAGGCATCATTCTCTGTGATCTTTATCTTGGTATCGGCAGGATCATATTTGCTGAGAGAAGTAACATTAGACTTGCTGATGTTCTTAAAATTCTCCTTCTTTACCTTCATTCCAAAATTACTTGAGTCGCCATCTCTAATTTTTCCATCCGCTTCAGGACTTAATTTGCTCTTGGAAGCTATAAATATTCCGTTTTACGCAAATTTTGCTGAAAATATCCAATTGATACGATTTTCCGCACAAAATTTGGGGGAGAGAAATGAAGATAAAAGTTAAAGGCTTATGGGCTTTCTAGAACTGTCTTTAGCCACAAGATTCGTCATCAATTGGCATGAAATTATGATTAAGTTTGAACAGTTTCATACCAAATTTAATGAATCAAAGTAAATATTTATCGTAAAAATCTTTGAGAATTTCAGAGATAAATTTATTGTACAAGTGACCTTACTGCCTCCCAGCACTAGAGGAAGAGATGTCTGCTCAAGGATATTGGCATATTTTTGCAAACAAATTTATGGTAAAATTTTTGGACAACATAAAAGATTTTAGAAATTTCATATAAATTATTCAAACAGCCATTAAGATTATTGCCCAAAATGTCCGAAACACTATAAGAACTCAACTAAGTCATTATAAGCTACCACTGGACTTACTGATGCTCCATGGGGCTGAAGAGTTTTGGTTGCAGGCCCTCTTAGCAACTAGACTCTTGCCTACAGATAAGACTCCTGCAACTATTGCCACTTACTGTTAATCTGGGAATGGATCTTGTTCATCTCTTTATTTGTTAAGGGCGAGATTGAAGTTCCTTTCCTCTTGAAGTCTCTTCAGACTAGTTATTTCAAAGTTATTCCTAATAACTTGTTTTCTTTTGAATCTCTCGTTCGTTATAGATTTCTTCAAAGCTCGGGTGAACTTGTTGTTCAAGCCAATTTCAGACTCCCTAAAGCGGCTGGCTTGACCCTCCTTGGGCTTTGAATTTTCAGGCGTCGCTCTGAAAATATTGAAGTGGGTCTCAGGAGCAGGAATATTTTCAAAAATATGAATCTTTTTATATCCCTGAATATTTCCGTTTACGGACTCACGAACTCCATTTTTATAAATGTTAGTGTCGTCTCTGGTGCTGGCAGCTTGAAATGTGATTCTAGAAGTAACTTAGACACAAGAATAAACAGGAAATGTACCATGAGTTAATATTATCATACAGGTCATACTTTCTCTTGCGATATTTCATAGAATTACGCTTAGCTGATCTTTCTTTACAGGGTGTTTGTACCCTATTCTTCTCCTTTGCTTGACTTAGTCGTGAATGTGCTTCCTTTAATGCATACATCTGTCTCTTCCTAAAATTTTAAAGCATTAAGGAATAGGCTTTATGTAAAGCAACATTAGCAAAAACACATTGTCCTAGCCGTGTTTTCCTCTGGCTTATCAGCAAGTCAGGAGGGTCAATAAGCAAGGTTGCTGACTACAAAGGTCAAATTACATGAAATGATTGTTGCCCTTATTCAATGAATATGGCCTAAAGCTCATATGAGGGTTAATCATCTTTTTGCTATTAATTAATTGATATAATTCATCCAACATTCAACGATATTTAAATGCCTGGGGTTTTGGGGTTTTGGGGTTTTGGGGTTTTGGGG